CAAGTGCACGTGTGGAACTTCCGACACCATATTTACTAGTTTTGTACCAAGACACACCTATGGTAAAAATTTCATCAAAATCCGAGACATGTCGTTTCAGCCCTATAGTAAATTCATTGGTGCTTACAGAGAATGCGTGTTAAATATTTTGAAAATTATGCAAAACATCAACGTCAAGGGGTAAAAAAGCATCGCATGCTGGGACACCTTGAATTCTCATGAGTAATTAACCCATTTCCTACTGCAGCCAAGTATGCAGAGCTTATCAGTAAGACGAGGGATAACACGCCTGCTGCTGTGATGGCTAAGTTAATTAGCACCATTTTTACTTTCTGCCTGATAACAAGATAATTTATCCCTCTAGGTATATAAAAGTATACATATTTATAAAGCTCTTAAAATTCTGCATCCAGCAGTATAAATTTTAATATGCAGCAAGAATGCTATCCCATGTTTTATCTGATGTAAATAATAATAAATTCTTAAAAACAATTGAAAATTTTTGTCATCTTTTTATTCACCTGCATTTTATGTGCATTATGTGGGTCATGGGCAATCTTTCAGTGAAATGAGAACCTACCAAGTTTATCCATAAGAAAGATATGGACCGGACACAAATTATGAAATTTTTCTTCCAGTGACCTTGAACTTCCCCAAATGACCTTGGGTCAAGGTCATGACATACTCTTGGGTCATGGGCAATCTTTGTGTGAAATGAGAACCTACCAAGTTTATCCATAAGAAAGATATGGACCGGACACAAATTATGAATTTTTTCTACCAGTGACCTTGAACTTCTCCAAATGACCTTGGGTCAAGGTCATGACACACCTTTGGGTCATGGGCAATCTTTATGTGAAATGAGAACCTACCAAGTTTATCCATAAGAAAAATATGGACCGGACACAAATTATGAAATTTTTCTTCAAGTGACCTTGAACTTCCCAAAATGACCTTGGGTCAAGGTCATGACACATCCTTGGGTCATTGGCAATCTTTGTGTGAAATGAGAACCTACCAAGTTTTTCTATAAAAGATATGTATCAAACATGATTTATGAAAATTTTCTTCCAGTGACCTTGAAGTTTCCAAAATGACCTTGGGTCAAGGTCATGACACACCCTTAGGTCATGGGCAATCTTTGTGTGAAATGAGAACCTACCAAGTTTATCCATAAGAAAGATATGGACCGGACACGAATTATGAAATTTTTCTTCCAGTGACCTTGAACTTCCCCAAATGACCTTGGGTCAAGGTCATGACACACCCTTAGGTCATGAGCAATCTTAGTGTGGAGTAGTGGATTCTAATGTCCCTCTGTAAGAAAGATATGGACTGGAGATGATTGCACAGACAGACGGACGGACGGACAGACGGACGGACAGACAGACGGACAAGGTGATTCCTATATACCCCCCCAAACTTCGTTTGCGGGGGCTATAAAAACACTTTGGTCGAATTAAAATTTTAAAGACAATTTACCTTTTGCTCATTACTCGGACACAAACTAACGGACGCAAATGCCAGTTGGTGGAATGTTTTTATTGACTACAATCTATCATATGGTGTTAGTTTTGAAAATCTCCTCGTTCCGAAATGGATTAAGCGAGAGTCAAACTTACCATGTATTTATTGAATCTCGCTCAAAATATTGCATATATACCGAACTGTGAGAAAAAGAAAAAGTTGACAATCAAAGATGAATAGGCGATCGTGTTACAAAATTTGATAGCATAAATTTGTCGGGTGTTCTTTGTATGAAATCGAAGAAGGCTCAAGAAAAGTTAAGTTAAGTGTCCCCCATATTTTCTTGTAAAATCCAAAATGGCGCCGACGCAGTTGTAACCTCATCTCTCAACATATCCGAAAATTTTAATGCATGGAAAATAAATAAGATTTTGACATGTCTGTTCAACTTTCATTCCTTTTTTGGAGTCAAAAGTGAAAAATAGTCATGAGTTTTCGCCCACCAAAGTCGAATTAATATGAAACTAGAACTGTCCAATAGGGACAAATACCCCCCGCTGGGTTTTTCAGAGAAGGTGCCAATTCAAAAAATACTTTATGGATCTAGATGTTCTTACTTACTTACATTTAATTTACCTACAAAAATTTGCAGTGAAATATAATTGCTCATCATGTTTCTTAATGAATGAAACAAAGGTGCAACCAAATGAAACATCAATATTAATTCATTGTAATTCCATTGTAACATTATTTTTTTTTTATTTAATTTTTTTATTTCTACATTAAAAAATATATTGCAATTATGTTATGTCACTCTGCAAACTGATTGTTGAAAAAAATCATATTATACAAAATCAAATTAATCTTGATAACTTAATATCAAATTCATTTGAAAATAAAGAGCTAGTCATCCAGTAATGAAGTGCTTTGACAGACAATAAATTACAATTAAGAGAATAAGAGAAGAGAGATCTTTAATTCTTGTGCCTGATTCCCAGGAGATTACACATGGTTGATAATGAGATGCCTTAATGTTCAACTTCCCAAACTAAAATCATTAATTTATCTTTAACTGGATGCATGTCCAGTCATTATTCCCAAGAGATAAATAAAATTACATTATCTTCTGTGCAATGTAAAAACTGTTTTTAACACTTAATGATGTTTCTTTTTTTTTAAGTTTATATGAGTAGTTTTAAGCTGTATTATTTTTGTACAGATATTCTAGATTCTATGTCTCAAACCTTATACATGAGCCCAAAATGAACAAGTCAATTAAAATAAAAAATAAAACCTGTAAAATGCAAAAAAATGAACAAAAAGAGTTGAAAATTCCAGTTGCACACCTTCATATGGTGAATAATAAGTGTACAAATTTTCAGATTAATCCTTGCAATAGTTTCTGAGAAACAGTCCGGACAAAACCACAAAATAACCAGAAGTCTCTGTCGAGACTGAAGCTCTACTGGTTTGTACTTATAGCAAAGGAAGAGAAAAGTACTTAAGCAGTTGGAAATTGAAACTTTTCAACAGCAATAAATAGAATAATGATCCTTGATTAAGTCTCTTTATGTTCTTAGTGCAGTCTACTTGCATGCCACATTTATATTATAATCAGACTAAAATTGTATTTGGAGTAGCATTTTGAAAGAATTTCACAGAAATGTCTATTTTTAGTAACCACGGCAACAATGTTCATTGAAATCAAAAACCGATACACAGAATTATGTATCTTATTGTAGTCTACTTGTGTGCCAAGTAATATTGAAATCAGACTAAAACTGTAGAAGGAGTAGCATTTTGAAAGAATTTCACAGAAATTTCTATTTTTAGTAAACACGGCAACACCGTTCATCAAAATCAAAAACTGATACACAGAATTATGTATCTTATTGTAGTCTACTTGTGTGCCAAGTTATATTTAAATGAGACTGAAACTGTAGAAGGAGTAGCATTTTGAAAGAATTTCACAGAAATTTCTATTTTTAGTAACCACGGCAACAACGTTCATCGAAATCAAAAACCGATACACAGAATTGTGTATCTTAGTGTAGTTTACTTGTGTGCCAAGTTATATTGAAATCAGACTAAAACTGTAGGAGGAGTAGCATTTTGAAAAAATTTCACAGAAATTTCTATTTTTAGTAACACGGCAACACCGTTCAATGAAATCAAAAACCGATATACAGTAGTGTTGAATAATCGGGAAAATTTCATAATCGATAATCGATCGAAATCGGAGAGGCTTAATCGATCAATGATCGACTTAATTGGAAATTAAAATTTCAAGTACAAATTCCATGTTTTTTATAGCATTTATCATTTATGGAACAAACTAAAAATAAAATTTTATCAAGTTTATTCTGAAAACAACTTTTTGTTGCACAAGTAACAAAGAAACAGAATTTTTTTTTTAACATATTTGCTCATAAAAAGTGATAAAAAACTAAAAATGTAATGACTAGATTAACAGTAATATATGCACATGATCTACCAAATTACCAATACTTAATGTTTTTGTTCAAAAATATAAAGAGATCGACATTATTGTGGCTCATTCTGCATCGCTTTTTAGAAACAATTTGTCCCCCAAGGCTGAAGACCCTTTCCGATGATACGGAGGAAGCAGGAATAGCCAGAAACTTTTTGGCCAGTATGGAAAGTCGTGGGAAAAATACAGCATTCTTTTTCCACCATTCTAAGATGGTTAAATTGTGATCTTCAATCTCAACCTGACAACCGATATATCTTTCAAGTTCTTTTTCTGCTACATTTTCCACATCCTTACTCTCTCCAGTACATACTACATCCTCCAGCCAGTCATCAGTGTCCACTGACTTCATTTTTTTTGCAGTTGATGGTTGATAAAGATCTTCCACTCTGTTTGACTCACTTGCAGTATTCTCCTCAGTGTTCTCATCAGGTAAATTTGGAAGTGCAGGAAGTGGTGGAAAATCAGTATCTTTCTCTGCTCCTGTAGGTGCCTCTTTCTCTTTCTTTACTAGGGTAATTCCACAGACAAATCCTCTAAGAAGACTATGTGCTCTTTCTCTCTCTTCAGGTGCAAAGTCCAGTCCTTTCGTAAAAGGATTCAGTAAACAAGCCAAGAGAGAAATATCCTCTGACTGCGTTCTTTTATTCAATTCTGCCTGCATCTTTTGTTTAATCTTTTTGATTACTGCCGAGTCCTCATCTGATATCTCAGTTGCCCGCATAAGTTTTGTAACGATTGGAAGGACTTTCTGCATGGTAGGGTGTTGATCTGCACAAACTATTGTGGTGGCTTTTTCAAAGGGTAACAGAATTTTAACCAAATGTTCAACCATGGTCAATTCTTCAAAACTGAAAACGGAGTTCTTAAGAGTTGTGCTGGCATGTTTAGGTAAGGAAGGGTCATTAGCCAAAGCCATAAGTACTGGTGCTTGTTCTAGGAGACGTTGTAGCATATACAGGGTAGAATTCCACCTAGTTGCCACATCAATCAAAAGCCTGTGCCCTACTTTACTGTCACTGAAGAGAAGCTTCTGTTTATCATGCAGCATAGATGTCATGCTACTGGATTTATGAAAAAATCCTACAAGTGTTCTGGCCTTCCCTAATACTCTGCTAACCTCAGGAAATGTAAGAGAATTTTTCACTACCAAATTGATCCTGTGGCCATAGCAGCCAAATCTATTCCAACCCAATATTTCATAGGCTTTTTGTTCGTTTGCAGCATTGTCTGACGTTGCTGTTGGCACTGGAAGGGACCAACGGTCCTGAGTATTTTTAAGTTCATTTGCAATGTTTTGTGAAGTATGACTTCCTGCAAGTTTTATGGTACCTAAAACAGCACTTTGAAGGCACCAATCATTGTCAATAAAATGTGCAGTTGTTGTGTAATAAGATTTTGTATTTAGGCTTGTCCAGCCATCATGTGTAATGGAAATGTCTGTGGAAAGTCTCAACTGGGTTTTTAGTTGTTCTTCTACTTTCAACTTTTTTTCTTCTAATCGTTTGATGACAGTTGGCCTTGAAGGTACCTTGTATCTAAAATATGAAATAACTACATAAAAAATCTAACTTACATACATCTGCCATATGTTATCTCAAACTTTTTAAAATATATTTTTATAGTATTTTTTTTAGTTTTATTTGAAATGAGTTTATTTACATCATATATTTTTGAGATATTTATTATATAATGTCACTACTGTACAGCCATTTTTTATTTATTTTCCTATACATCTATTTATGAATAATTGAATATTTTACAATCAAGACTGTGATATAACAGCTGTTTAAGTCTGCATTCTAATATTTCTATAACATAACACACAAATACATACCTTGGATCTAGGAGTTCCACAAATGCTCTGAAGTAGATGTTGTCGACTATGCTCACAGGTAAAGCCTTGCCAATGATCAACTTATTCAAGGCATCATCAATCGTTGACTGCCTTTCTGGGCTTATTTTTCCGACAGGTTTGTTAGATTTAACGAAGTTATCAAGACGAGGCTGGATATTGGATTTTATTTTCGGTTCTAATTCACCGCCATGTTCACTGTCAATGTGCACTCTAAAATTTGTCGTGTTTCCTAAAAACCACAAGTTTTATCCTTAGTAATAGAAGGCTAGTACATTATATTCCAAATATTTGTTAATTGTTTATAAAGAAATCGTTCCGTTTAGACTAAAATTCTAAATGAAGACCCACCTTTGTTCGCATATTTTTTTCTGCATACACGACAAATCGCTGTTGTCATATCCAAATTAGCTTTTATCGGCGGCCCATCAGTCTTTTTAAGAAATCCGAAATACTTCCATACAACAGATTTTGTATTCCCTGGATATGGGAAAATTTCTAGTTCTACTTGAAGTTGGTTGTTGTTAACTTCGGACGCCATTTTGAGTTGACCTCGTTTTATGTTTATTGTTAATGCGTACGTATTTGTTTCGTTCAATTCGTACACGTTTATTTGGGCGACAATCGATTATGAAAAACGTAATCAATAATCGGAATCGAACACCCAAAAACGATCGACAATCGATCGTCGGCGACAATCGTTTCATCACTAATATACAGAATTATGTATCTTAGTGTAGTCTACTTGTGTGCCAAGTTATATTAAAATCATACCAAAACTGTAGGAGGAGTAGCATTTTGAAAAATTGTTTACAGACAGACAGACGGACAGACAGACAGCCGGACAGACGGACGGACGACGGACGCATTACTATCGCATAAGCTCTTCTGGTCTCTGACCAGTAGAGCTAAAAATGGAAAAACACCTGTAAAATTCAAAATAATAATTGAATCAAGATGAAAATAGCAGGTGCACAACTTCATATGGTGAATGATATTTGTACAAATTTTCTGACAAATCCTTCCAATAGTTTCTGAGTAATGTTCCGGACAAAATCTCGTCGACAGACAGACAGACAGACAGACGGACAGACGGACATGGTGATTCCAAATACCCCCCCTAAACTTCGTTTGCGGGGGGTATAAAAATACACATAGAAACAAGTCAGGGGCAATGCTTTGTTAATTTTATTCATAAAGAGTAAGAGTCCTTTTACTCAAAATATATTTGCGAAATTGAATCAATGTACTCAGTTTTATACATAATATGTTTTATTCCATACAATGGGGAGGTATATCAAAGACAAAAGATCCAGCTGTATTATGTAAATAAAAATCTTCAATGATGGCACAACCTACTCTACTGCTTCATGTTCTTCACAGATTTAAAGTTTTTTTGAAATATTTTTTTTTCAAATAAGCCTTTTGCAGCACTTTTCCGATTGTAATTGCCTCATGTGGATGAAAAATGTGCCTTTTCAGTATGCTTATTATTCCATATTTTGACATCATTTTCGAAGTTATTATATCATAAACATTACAAAGTCGCGTCACTAAATGTGCATATTTTGCTGATCGTTCTAATGATATAAAACTGAATAATTTATGTGAAATGGATCCATTTCTATTAAACAGTTCTCAGAACTTTTAAAATGCCACACTCGTACCAATTTTGTAAATATCCAATATGCACATGCATCCATAAATTTCATAACAATGTCATCCTGTGCACGCTTGGGTCAAAGTCTAATTTATGTTAATACAGATAATGTCAAAAATAATTTCAATTTTTTTTTTATTTTGTGATTAAAGATTGAAAATTGTGATATCCATCAATTTATTTTCTTCTTTTATAAATCTTTTGAGACACCACACATTAACAGGTATATCATTGATGTTAATTCTCATGTCAAATGACTGACTGTAGGCCTTTCAACTAATTTTTCAAGTTGCACATATGGTAAAAAACATTGCATAGATAGATTTATAGGTACATGAAATTATCAAAAAAGATAATAACTTATGCATACTTTTAATTACATAATTAAAAAGTTTAATCATTTAAAATTGACTTTTCCGATGTTGTGTTTAAGGACAGGTAACTCAGGTGTGAAAAATGACCAACTTAGTGCCGAATTATGAGTTATCGTTTATAGGAATGACATATAGGCTGCTTCAGCATTGGTATTGTTATATACACAAAAGCCAAGGGTTCCTTACATTGTTTTGTACACAAAAAGTTTTGACCAAAAGAAAGAGAATGCCTTCAATCTACTTGAAATAACAGGGTCAAGTGAATGGGGAACAGACTATATTCAATAGTTTTAACTCTCTTTGACGATTATTATGAAGAAGAAAATTTAATGTCATATTTTTTTTGTTCGCGCTTTTTCGCTTCCTGTGTAAATATGTATATTTTTACAAGTAAATGCAACAATTGATCATCCTATTTGTGTTACTAAGCACGAAGGGGAACGACCGATTATAAAAATTTAAATAGGTTAAACTGAGAAGGAGGGTAGATTTCACTTTTTATTTTAATTAAAAAATCTAATTATATGCAGTAAACCGGTGTCCGCAACTATACAGTAAATAAGTTTAACATTGGTGCTAAATTTTAAAACCACTGGATTCTACTGAGAGCAAAGAAACACTTGGGAAATGTTAAAAACTGCCTTGCGTGTAAACAGTTAGATACCCTGAGCCTGCTCTAAACAAGTTTCAGCAGTGAGTTATCGTTCATAACACCGACCCCTAGCGGCAATTGAAAGGCCTACTGACTGTATACACTTTGTTTTATATGTTATCATCTGTATGTGTCTTTATGTGATTCTTTAAGACATCTAATCTGCTAAATGTCTGTCCACAAACATCACATCCATATGGTTTCTCTCCAGTGTGTATCCTCATGTGTCTATCTTTGGTACCTGAATGGTTAAATGCTTTCCCACACACATCACATGTATAAGGTTTTTCACCAGTATGTGTCCTCATGTGTTTCTGTAAGTTGGTTGAATGAGTGTATGTCAATTCACACACATTACATTTATAAAGTTTATCACCTGTATGTATCCTCATGTGTCTTTTTAAGTCACTTGACTGCTTGTATGCCTTCCCACACACATCACATTTATAGGGTGTTTCACCTGTATGTGACCTTATGTGAATTTTTAGATTATTTGATCTGCTGAATGCCTTTCCACATACGACACATCTGTAAGGTTTTTCACCTGTATGTATCATCATATGGTCCTTTAAGGCTCCAGCTTCCTTGAAAGCTCTTTCACACACATTACATTTATAAGGTTTATCATCTGTGTGTGTCCTCACGTGTCTATCTAAGTTAGATGAATAATTGAATGCCTTCCAACACTTATCGCATTTATAAGGTTTATCACCAGTATGTATTCTCATGTGTGTCAGTAAATTTCCTGGCCAGTTGAATTCCTTTCCACACACATCACATTTATACGATTTATCAGCTGTATGTATCCTCATATGCTTCTTTAAACTATTAAATTGATTGAAGGGTTTATCACACAAATCACATTTATAGAGTGTATTATCTGCTTGTGTCCTCTTTTTTCTCTGTAAGGCACTTGAACGGTTCAACTTTTTTTCACATGCATTACAATAATAAGGTTCAATACCAGTCTGTGTCCTGATGCATTTATAAATGACATCTGATACAGAGAATGCCTTCCCACAAAATTCACATTTTAAAATTTTCTTCCGCGATTGAGACCTTATTTGTCTATGTACGTGACTTGAACTAGTTGAAGGTTTCCTATTGATACATATCCGAGGCTGTTTACTTACACGTGTGTTGATGTGTCTTTCTAAACTTCCAGTTTGATCTTCATCTGAACAATAGTTCTGTAATTCTTCAGTATCTATCTGAATATTTGAATGGGATTCAAAATCTCCGCCTTCCTTCTACAAAAATGACAAAGAAATCAGTTTCACTGCACCACAGGGCACTGTTCTGATTATATCTAGTGTAAGGATAACTAGAGGTACTGTGAGCAATTACTCACTAAATGATACCACCCCCCCCCCCCCCCCCCGCCTCCCATAATGTCCATGTGCTGCTATATATTGTTTTATGGTAATGTGTAAAGAGAAATAACTCATCCTATCAAATGTTATCCAGAAGTTTCTATAATGTGACGTCATAGGTAAAATATAATTGCAATGTCCATGTTTTCCTGTGGGAAACCTAAAATATGTGTCGAATAAAAAAGTAAAATAGGAGGTGCACACCCTTGCAGAATATTCCTGAGATGTCCTAAGAAATCCTAAGACAATCTTAAGATTTATTCCTCGGATATCTTGAAAAAATCCTAGGATTATTCCTAAGATTTCCTGAGATGTTTTTGGAACAGGAATTCCTGGGATTTCCTTGGACAGTCCCAATTCAGGGGTTCTAGAAAAATCCCAGGAATCAAAACACCAAGACTTCCCAGGATATCCCAGGAAAATCCCAACACTTAAAATGTCCTAGGAAATCAGGAATTCCTAGGATTTCCTAGGATATCCTAGCCTCCTAGGACATCTTTTTTTTTTTAAAAATCATACATAGCAACAAAGCAGAATTATAAGATCTCTGAAAAAAATTTAATGAATGTATGCATTATAAAAATTCATGGCCACACAGAAAAAATAATACATAAAATAATTTTTAAAGAATGCTGATGGTATCTGATACAACAAATTCTTTACAATTTTACTGCTGTAACATTATAGTGCAGTTATGATTCAACATCATGATTTACACACAGGGGGGGAAACAGATTGTCTTATTTTCAAACTATGTTGATACATTCTGAAGCAGCTCTCATAGAATATTTATGATATACATGTACAATGACAAATATTAATAATAATAAAAAAATATTTAAATCAACAACCTAGTGTAGAGAGTAGGGGTGAGGCCCTCAGAGTTCGTCACTTCTGAAGAATTCTGTACAATAAAAGATTCAGATACCAAACAGAACTAATTCATAACACTCCCCCCCCCCCATAAAAAAAAAACAAAAACAGTATGCACCTGGTGGCAACAAAGTTTGAAAAAGAAAAAACATATAACAAAAACAAAAACATATAGGTCAAAGTCACAAGGTCATTAACCTTGATGTAATTTGAAAGAACTTAATTAGTGGAGTATGGATACTCAATATAAAATATCTACCTCTTATGGTTCAAAAGTAAAAGATTCAATAAGGCTTTATTTTAGCATAACGATGACAGTCAAGGTCATTGGTCTTGGTCTCATTTGAAAGTGGAGTAAGCATACCCAATATGAAGTATCTATATCTCTCATAATTCAAAAGTTATGGCAAAAGGTAAATTGGCAATAGACAGATAAACAGACAGGCAAAAACAATATGTGCCCCCGAAAGAGGCCTTGACCTCTGACCATTTCATTTCAAAATATATATGGGTAATATTTAATTTATAAACAATATTAAATTTGTATTGATGAATAATCATGTTCTGCAGTGGGATCGTCAAAATGAGTTATAATATAAAATGTCATTGCAATATCTGATGGCTTTTTGGAAATGTTAAGAGAACGAAGTGTTACAGACAGACAGATTGACAAACAGAAAGATAAACAGACCCAAATTAATATCCCCCCTGCACCTCGTCAATCCAATATAAGTCGCTCAGCTTTAGTTGATCACTGATGTATCTTCTTTAGATGTACATTTCTTTGCACTTGTCTTTGCTAAAATAAAATTTTACTTAATGTATTCCATTGTTTAGTCTAAATATGTAATTATTTCTAAGGGATGAAAATCAAACTTGTAAAATTTAGTAGCCAAAGATGCTACATGTATCAAGCTTTCAGATTCTACCAGTCCATAAAAATATGTGTTAAATTTGCCCAAGTAAGGTGAACCATTTTTCTCAAAAGATTTATTTTATTCACACTTGCATAAGGAATAAGGTATGTTAATCAATTGCATACATGACATGATTTACAAATGATGTCATAATAATCTTACTGAATAGCCTTTTTGTAGAAAATAAAATTTTAATTCGCAATAGTTAACCGCTTTACCAGTTTACCACAGCTGTCGTATAAAGTCAATTTACTTGGCATTAAAATACTGTGAATTAAACTCTCCGTGTGAACAGAACATTAAAATCATACATTAACATTATTTGAACAGCTTACCTTTCTCGGCAATATTCTCCTTGTTGTAATTTGCTTCTTTTCCCTTAGTCCGAGTTAAACAGTCTGCAAAGTTATCAATAAAATTTTTTATAAGACGTGTATATAATATTTGTTCTTTTGTAATCTAGCTGAAATTAATTTTAATGATGGCTGTCATTGATATTTCTTGCTGATTTTTTCATTTTTCTGTTCTAAATTTTGCGAATATTATCTTATGAGTTCTGCGATATCTGTGTCAGTTTTCCCAACTTAATACAAGTTACAGAGATTGAAATGTACCATAAACTTTCATGGATGACTTTCACATTTACAAAAGTTATTCCCCTTTGCGAGGTCAATCCAGGGTCAACCGGCGTAAGACACTGTTTCCCCTCTATTACCTTACCAACTTTATGTATACGTCCAGTATCTCAGAAATATAGTATGTATGAATTTGTTCATTACGTTTTTAAAGTTGCCCCATATTCTGGCAATACAGTTACAGACCGATATTGTTAGATATAAATGTCTGAAAATAAAAATATTTCCAGGTAACTTACAAAGGACAAAGTGGGAGAAATGAGTGTTACGCCGACAACCGGAGATAACTCTTAGGAATGTGAAATCTGTATATTCTTTCAAGTTTAGAAAAAAATTTTTTTTTTTAAATTACAAGATACCTGAAACTTTCTCTTCATTTGGTAGTCTCAATGGGAGTTTCCAGTCTCATAATCCTTGCCAGGCTTCAAGGTTCTGGCTAGAAGATAACAATGCAATGAAGGCTTTATTTAACAGTATAATTCCAAAATTTACACCATGTCAAAACATTCAATGCAAATTTAACAGTAACTGATAATAAATATTTGTTTATAAGTCTTCTGCTTACTAAATTTTAACATGTAAAACCTGGAAATATTTCACTGTGTTAAAAAAAAAAATAATGTACGTTTGATCTTCATGGACTAGACTGAATCACAGTATGCCCAAAAACCTTTTACACATATTCAAATCGTTTCTTCTGTTTCAATATTGAAATATTATACAACACATCACATGCACTAAATTATTAAACAATATTTGTGTGTTTAAATACATATTACAGGGAACCACTTGCCACTTACCCCACTGGCCTGTGGCCATGATATCTACACTTCTTCCAACGTTCCCTTTACTGCACTCCTAGCGAAACCAAGATTTTTGGGAAAGAGAACATGGTTTATGTGAAGAATTAGAGTCAATCTTGGACGTAAGTTGTGCATTTCATTACACTTAACCAGTCTCTCTAAACATTGCCGCTCCTTGAACTCCTATTTTGCGCTTCTCGATGAAGTCTCGCGAGAGGATGATACAGGACGGTGTAAAGTTATTTCGTGCCACACCAAGAAAATGCGGTTTGTTTATTCTTGAAAATAATTTGTGATTAATGTGAATTTACGTTTTTTTTTTACAAAAAGAAAATATATTTTAGCGAATATTTTCTGATAAATTAATATTCAAAGCTGAGTGTACAGTAAAATATATTTTATACACCGGGTACCAATTGATCGAAGATCACTTTTTTTACCACCTCTCGGAAGTTCGCGCGCAGACACGGTGTAGGGGTATTTTGTACACCTTTAAGAAATATCCCGACATTTTCCCGAGAATCTTGTTTAAAAAAACACGTAAGTTATTTTCAGTGACAAACGACCTGCATATTAGAAAAATAAAAAATAAATATCCTTGATCAACCAATTCTACTCACAGAAAGTGTTACAGAAGAAACCACAATGATACAATTAGGCCAAGAACAATTTGCATGGAAACCGTCCAAACACAAATATGGCGGATCGTGAAGTTGTCACATGTGCTGTAAACAACGACTTTTCTTCGTATCTACAAGCCTGTCACGATGTCTGTAAGTATCTTATTGCTAAGTGATGAATGAAAATTAGTATATCTGGCTATAAAACTATAGGGAAAGCGCATTTTTATCGTATTTAATAGTTATGTTACGACTCGAATTTGGTCAAAACCTTTGAAAAGTTTTTTTTGATCTTTGTTTATGTGGATAAAATTTTCAGGAAACTCTATAAGTTTTACTGCGTTTTTTTTAGATTTTCCTCGTTAAATAAAAGCAATACTCAATATCAAAAACATGAGGAATTATATTCTCAAACTCTGACAATACAACACGATTCTAACCCAACAATATTTGAAATACCAAGCTTTTTAAGTCAGAAAGTGACGAAAGTATGATGTCACAGATCAAGTCATGCTTCTTGAATATGCTGTTTATGTAGTACTTAAATTTGTGTAGTGTACTTTTCTTTCAATGACTCAATAATTACTTTTCTTTTGTATAGTCTCTCTGGCAGTTATGGGTGAATATACAGCGAAATCATACAGATTTGGATGAAGATGTTAAAGATAGTAAAGTCAAAGACAGTTTGATGAACCAAATGACACTGATAAAGAAGAAGATACAAAAAAAAGATACTTCTAGCCAGGCATGTGACTTTGAAGCTGATAGTTTGGTAACCACCTGAGAAATATATAACGTGTATGCAGGTGATGACGGTATAGGAGAGCCATTTCTTATAACGTGCTCTGAGGAAAATATGTTTTATTTTGTCGAAATGAAATGCGAAGTGAAAAATTAAATTGACAGATGAAGAAAATTTACCACTCCATCCTTCTGTTGTATTAATACTTGATGTTGTATTGCAAGATGGCCAAGTTTGTATGACCAGTGCTTTCGAAAAAAAAAACTATGCTTGCACTCAGTTTCCCATGAACGAAGCAATCTAAAGATTAAGTGTAGAATTTAATTCTAATGGATAAAAATCAACTCAGAAATGTGTGATTTGAAAATGATGAAATATTGTTTGTCTGTAAACAATTTTTTTTAAAAAACATATTTATACATGTATAACTCCTCCCTGACAGCATCAATATTTCAGAAAGTATTTAATTTAAAAAATAGTTCTAGGGTCAGTGTCTTTCTATGTATCAAGTATAATATGTAATAATTGAAAATTATTCATTTTATGATTTTCTTGATATTATACATTAAAACTTTAAAAGTAATAAAATTTCCTGTCATTCTGTTTTAAGATATATTAACATGTACAAGTTTGTAAAGTTTAATTTGTCTATTTTACAAAAGTCCCAACATTAAGTCAAAAGTCTTAGGAAATGGGATTATCTTAAAAATGATTAACTCCTGGCTTTACAATGAAATGTCCTGGCAAGATTTGGATTTGAAATGTTTAACAAAGAAGTCCTGGGAGATCCTAGGATGTCCTGAAATCAAATCCCAGGATTGTTACTCCTAGGATTTCCTCAAATCAGATTGTGAGGAAATCTTAGGAATTCTTAGGACATCTTAGGAATTCCTGAGAAGCATTTTCAAGTCAGGAATAATTTCTGCAAGGGTAAAAAGTGAATGTAAGCAGTATATATATTTTTTTTACATCAGTAGTTACATCAATCATTTCTGAACTATTTACAGTTTATTTCATCAACAAATCTGTACAAAATGTTCTGCTTGTCAGGAAATTCTGGGCTGGAATTTTTTGACTGAGATGTGAACCCCCCTCCCTACTCTCGAAAAAAAATTCTGGATCCGCACCAGTATTGGCAGTAACTGAATGTCACATCGACAACGGGAGATAACTTCACAATATGAAATTTGTCTAGTGTGGCATGCGATGATCTTTGACCCTTTTTGAACTTTAACCTAATCGTTTTGGTTTATTTTACCCCCCACTATACTTAAACTTGTACTTACCGACCTCCATAGGTCTTGTCAACTTCATGAAATATATAATCCAATTATAACACAAAATGAATTAATCCAATGCAAACCAGACTGCAGCATGTGCTAATGCTATTCCATTCGTCAAACCTTCGTGCCGTCGATTCCGTCACCTTATCAGATAAAGTGGGAATCGGCCGAGGTGTGCGGAATGGAGTTTAATCTAAAATATGATAATGGGTTACGCAACGTGATGTGATGTAGAAATTTACATGTTAACATGTATAGTACAAGAACAAATTTTAAATTAATTCATAACAAACGATGTTTTAACAAAACTGTTCCATCTAGCCTATTCCAAAAAGTATGTGCTGTGTGATTGTGGTGTCGAGAGGGGGGATTAGTAAATTTGAAAAGGTCCTATTATGAGCAAAACATTTATCAAAATATAATTTACATCATTAATAGTATTCAAACTGGTATATAATGAATTAAGCATGTAAAATAAATATAAGAGGTTCTGAGTTATAGGTCACAGGGAGAATTTCATACTCAATTTGATGAATACATGTAAATTATATAGAATTATTTTGACTTTTTCCTTGGAAAGCCGCCCAATATGTAGGAGCGTGTATTTAGAGGCAAACACCTTAGTGCGGGTATTACTGTCTCATGACAGCATCTAGTTTTTAGCTCACCTGAGCCGAAGGCTCAAGTGAGCTTTTCTGATCAAAATTTGTCCGTTGTCTGTCGTCGTCATTGTCGTTGTTGTCGTCGTAAACTTTTCACATTTTCATCTTCTTCTCAAGAACCACTGGGCCAATTTCAACCAAACTTGGTACAAAGTATCCTTGGGTGAAGGGGATTCAAGTTTGTTCAAGTTTGCCAGGAAAGATGAAACTCATGTTGAGTCATCCTCAGGTAGTGTTGATTCAAGTTTGTTCAAATCATGACCCCCGGGGGTAGAGTGGGGCTAAAATGGCCGATCAAAGTTTTACATAAGAATATATAGGAAAAATCTTTAAAAATCTTCTTCTCAAGTACCACTGGGCCAGGAAAGATGAAACTCATGTTGAATCATCCTCAGGTAGTGTAGATTCAAGTTTGTTCAAATCATGACCCCCGGGGGTAGTGTGGGGCCAAAATGACCGATCAAAGTTTTACATAGGAACATATAGGAAAACCTCTTAATATCTTCTTTTCAAGTACTTCAAAGCCAGGCTTCGTTATATTTATAGGGAATCATCTTCAGGTGGTGTAGATTCAAGTTTGTTCAAATCATGACCCCCTGGGGGGTGTAAAATTCAAACCTCCCCCCCCCCCCCGTTTACTTTCAGTTCTGATCTGATCTGTGTTTTTTTCTAGCCAATTGCTCAGGTGAGCGATGTGGCCCCTTGGCCTCTTGTTTATTTTTTTAACTCTTCTGAGCCAAAGGCTCAAAGAGCTAATGCTATGGCCATTTGTGCGGTGTGCGTTAAATTTTTAGATTATGGGCCATAACTCAAGAACCCCTTGGCTAATCAGTGTCAAATTTGTCACAGGGTATCCTTGGCCCAAGGGCTACCGTTTATACTAAAATAAGGGTTGGGACCCTTAAACATGTTAAACAAGGGGAAATAATCAGGAAAACAAAACCAAAAGTACTGGTTGCTAAAAAATCTTCTTGTCCAGAACCACCAGGCAGATTTTCACCAAACTTACATACAAGGATCAGGATGTGTTGAAGATTAAAAATTGTTCAAGGCATGACCCTGGGGCAAAGGGCGTGGTCTCAAGGTCACTTCAAAGTTGACCTAAATTTACAAATAATAAAAACGTATTTTGCTTACTATTAGGACTAGGATCATCAAATCTATTAAGTTGATGCATCTCAGGACTTCAAATCATGTTAACTCAAAAGTAGGTCACGGTGACCTACTTTTTAAATTTTGTAAGCATTTATCAAATTGATTTGAAGGTATATTTCGGGCACTTTAAGGCCTATGATCATCAATCTTTGTCAGTTGATGCATCTTGGGTCCTTGAACAATGTCAACCAAAAAGTAGGTCACCGTGACCTACTTTTTGAACTTTATGACTAATTCTTTTTAAAACATTTAATCCAATTATTTCAGACACTGAGAGGTATAGAATCATCAAATCTTGTAAATTGATGCATCTTGGGACCATAAAACATATTAATGAAAAAGTAGGTCACTGTGACCTACTTTTTGAATTTTGCAGGCACTTGTTTTTGAGTTGTTTAAAAGGCATATTTTGACCTTCAGACCTAGGATCATGAAACTTGGTCAGCAGTTGCATCTTATGACTTTGAAAAATTTCGACCAAAATATAGGTCACGGTGACCTAGTTACAAAATTTTATGGTTATATTTTAGTATCTTAGGTATTTATTGGCTTAGAATCATCAAACTTTGTAAGTTGATGCATCTTGGGTTTTCGGAGAGTAACGACCAAAAAGTAGGTCACAGTGACCTACTTTTGACATTTTATGGCTTTATTTAAATATCTAGGGTACTTATTGGCTTTCGACATTTTATGGCTATATTTTATTATCTTAGGTATTTATCGAATTGAATTGAATTGAATTGAATCATAAAACTTTGTGAGTTGATGCGTCCTGGGTTTTCGGAGAGTGATGACCAAAAAGAAGGTCACGGTGACCTACTTTTGACATTTTATGGCTTTATTTAAATATCTACGGTACTAATTGGCTTAAAATCATCAA